TGGGCCAGATTGTGTGTGGGGAATGCTCTGGGGGAAAAAAGGAGCATGGACGCTATAAGGAAACCTTTGATATTCCAGGGAGAGATGCTAGTAGTTCGGTGTAAGATGGCAGTGGTGATGAGGGATGTGGAGAGGAGGGGACAGATGAACAAGTCATTTGGGGTAAGAAAATGAAATACTGGAGCCATACTGGCTGATGGGCTGGGGAGGGATGAACAGTTTGGGGGACCCCAGGATAGCTCTTGCCAGCCACCGGCTAGGTGGAAGCTTTTCATTGAAGCAGGGCTGTTCCATTAACTAATTATAGTTAAAAATGTTGACTTAAAAATAAAATCCTGGGCAAAAATACAGTGTTCCTTTCACAGATTATCACATCCTGTGGTTTAAAATTATCCTGGGGCCAAGAAAAATATTTTAGTGCTTAGTTGGTTTTGCTGTTTTGAATTCCTGTACACCTCCCCAGAGAGGCCCACGGCAGGATGGCCCTGCAACCTGACGCAGCACATCCTTCATGGATCCAGCAAAAACGGGAATGCCATTTTTTTTTTAAATCTGCCCTTTAATGGGGTATCCACAAACTCACAAGCCTAGATTCTGGGGAGGAGCTGTTTTAATGTCAGTGCACAATTACCTGTTGTATTTCTCTATTGGAGAGTGTTTATTTTGAATGTCAGTACCTTTAATTTACTATGTCATGGTGATAGAGGTGTTTTCGTTACTGCATGGCAATAGTGATAATTTAGTGGCATCACAGTAGTATTGCTGAGGGGGCTATTGGAGGTATTACTTGTGTGATATCAGAGGTATTTCTCACGGTGATGTTGGAGGTGTTGGCTTGTGATGCTAGAGCTATTCTTGTGGTAATGGTGCTGATGGTGCTGATGGATGTATTCTTGTGATGGTCATAGTGATGATGGTATCTTTAATGGTGATGCTGTCGGTGGAGGTGAAGATGCTAATGATGGGGTAGGGCAATGAGGTTGGCAGTGGTAGTGGTGATGTGTTTGGCAGCCACAGTTGCAACCAGAGTGATGGTATCCGTGATGAATGGGGAGTCGGTGTTGAGGACCGCTGCTGGGCTCAGGGGAGCACATGATGCATGTCCCATTGGCTGCCTAGGCCTTGGCTGGGAATCAGCATCACAATGGATTGGCAGAGTGTTCCAAACTGCTCAACTTGGCCTTCCAGAAATACGAGTTTGGTGGGGACGTGGCAACCGTTTGCCTGTTGGCCATGGCTGGAGGGAGGCAGAACTAAGGGAGAGTCAGCGTGGTGCATTTATCGTTTATAAGGTGACTTCTTGGCAAGAGTATACGTGGTTGGAACAGTGTCTTAAGTGTGATAGGGACAGGGAATTGGACACAGCTGCAATTTCCTTAGTCATCACTGAGCTTTCCCAGCAAGACCCGTTTCTTTTTCCTCCTTACCATGATTTTTAGCATTCTTAAGCCAGGCTCTCTCTCTCTCTCTCTTTTTTTTCCCCCTCTGGGTGATTGGCACGTTCTGGCTGTGAGGGCTTCACCAGTTCTAACAAATCCCAGTCTCTGCCTTTCTTTCCTTTGCTCCTTGACCCTGGCATCTGGTGACTCATAGGTCATTGTATGTATGTATAGGACATTGATGGCTTATTTATTTGTTTGTTTATTTATTAATTTATTATGTCCCCTGTCCTTCCATGAAAATACAGATCCTAGGGCTGGCGTGATGGCTTGCCAGTTGACAGCATTGGCTGCTCTTCCAGAGGACCCAGTTTCATTCCTAGCACCCACATGATGGCTACAACCATCTGTAGCTCTGTTTCTGGGGATCTGATGCTCTCTTCTGGCCTCTTATGGGCATCAGACACATACGTGCTACACAGACACAAATACAGGCAAAATAGCCATACACATAAAAAGTAAAAATAAATCTTAAAAAGAAAAGGAACTACAGATTTGATGAAAGTGGACCTTTTATGCACTGCCTTAATCTGGTCCCTGATCGAGATCACGGTACATAACTGATGGTTAATAAGTACTTGTTGAATGAATAATGAAATTATTCCTATCTTGTCAGTGGGTGTAATAGTGCTAATCTCATGTGGTGCCTTTGAGGATTAAGTGAAGTGATATGATTAAGCCATCTCGCATGTCCAAGTGGACACATGAGGGCTGGTGAAGTCTTGCATTCCTCTTGGTACTTTCTTAAAACTGCTTTGTTTTTGGTAGTTACAGAATGAATTCTGGTTAGCTTCTTGTCTCTTTATGTTGCTTCTCCATTTCCTTCATGACTGACTTTATTTGTTCCTTTCCATTCCCCCTTTATTTTATTTTCCCTTCTTTCTTTTCTTCTCTCCTCTCTCCTTTTCTTTCTTTCTTTCTTTTTTCTTTCTTTCTTTCTTTCTTTCTTTCTTTCTTTCTTTCTTTCTTCCTTCCTTCCTTCCTTTCTCTTTCTTTCTTTCTTTCTTTCTTTCTTTCTTTCTTTCTTTCTTTCTTTCTTTTTTTCTTTCTTTCTTTCTGTTTCCTTTCTCTATCTCTCTTTCTTTCCTTTCTTTCTCTGTTTCTTTCTTTCTTTCTTTCTTTCTTTCTTTCTTTCTTTCTTTCTTTCTTTCTTTCTCTCTCTCTCTCTCTCTCTCTCTCTCTCATCAGGTCCAAGATCCAAACCCAGGACCTTTCACTTGCCATGCAAGGGCTCTGCCAGTGACCTAAAGGCCAACCCCTATGGCTTGTCTGTCATTTGTTTCCTGTCTAGCTAGTTCTAAAGAAGATACTAATAGATACCTCAGAGGATATGGACGTCTGTTCATAAAGGATGCTTACTGTTACTGTCAGCTGTATCAAAACAACACAGGGAGTCTTGAATTGCATAGAACACTGCACTGGAATCATTATATAATTATGATGACTAATAGCATATTTTAATAATAATCAAAGTTTTGTTAGGCTGAAAGACAAGCCAACACCCCTGTCAGATGGCTCACAGCTGCCTGTCGCTCCAGCCCCAGAGCTTGCAACACTCTCTCGTGGCTCCTGCGCACCCTGTCCTCACGTGCACATCCCCATAGACAGACACGTGTACCCGTGAATTAAAATAAATCGTAAAAGCACCGCATTCCTGCTTTCCTTGGTCTACAACGACTATGAAAATATAGTTTAAGAACCATTCTAGATGACAGGGAACTTAGGGCCCATTCAAGGGTCTGAAAAGACAGGTGTTATAATAGATAAATATGTGCATAATGTTTCTTATTAAGGGCCTGTAATTATTATGGCAGTTATTATTAACCTGCTACCATAGCAATAAAAGACACAGACACTTGTTGTATTTAAATAAGCCTTGTTTCACCTGGGGCTGGGAAGATAGATACTCCCCTCTAAACTACCTTGTTACCTCTTAGCCCCACGCCATCTGCTTTGATCATTCCTATCTGGGCGGCTTCCTTTCCAACAGCCCCGTAAATGCTTGCACATGTTTTCCATCTGTGCCGATTCTCTCCATGCCATTCCTCCTCCCAGCCCATGTGGTTTTGTTTTTTGTTTTTGTTTTTTTTTTTTTTTTTTACCTAGCCCATGGCGACTCTCCTTCTTTCTTTCCGACCTGTCTCTCTCCTTCCCGTGATCCCTCTCTCCTCAAAGCCCATGAACTTTGCTCATGCCTACCTTATTCTGCCCTGCTCAGCTATGTAGGCATTTATTCAGCCAATCAGGGATAACCCTGGAGGCAAGGTTACACAGCAGCACTTGGGGTATGATGATAGTTTGCTCGTGAGAGACAGCAAACAAACCTCAGGGAGCAAAATAATTAACAATCAAATACAAAGCGCCATACCGTGCTCTAACAGATGGGATTTTGACAGGTGGCTCGGGACTGGGTGATGTGGCGCAGGTTAACCTGAAAGCCTTCTGCACTCTGTTCACGGTGGCTGCCCATGCTTGACCTGGCGACCGGGAGCCCTGTATGACTATAAGAAGAACATGCTGGTCCTATGCTGGTATTGAAGGCATCCTCAGTGTGCCCTTTCACAGTCTTCGCGTGTAGCTACTGCTTTATATGCCATCAGAAGCCAGTTGTTTGCATGGCTAGCCCAATCTGCATCTGGCACGAAAATCTTACTTATTATTTTGAAGAAATTAAGCCTACTGTGTTGCTCAATGGACCTTTCTGTGTGGGTTATAACATGCCAAACTCATTAACCTTGGTAACCATTCAGAGAATGTTTTATCTTCAATATTCAAGTTGACTCATTGTATTAGCTATAAATGACTATATCCACAAATAAGTTTTTTTTTTAACAAGTCACTTACGGACTAAATTTTAGACTGTATTCCCTTTTCTTCTATTGGACGATATATAATGGCAAAACCCAGCTCTACAATTTAACCCATGCTATACAATGACTATTGCATTTGTTGTGTTAATTAAGTGATAGGACAAAACTTTCAGGAGTGTGCAGTACATACAGTGTGTTTTCAAGTTTGTGTGTATGTGTAGTATGGTGTGTGTTGTGTGTTCTGAGTACAGGTGTCAGGGTGGACATGTGGACGTCACAGGATAACTATGGGTGTGGGTCCATTCCTGCCACTTAAAAAAGAGGTCTCTTTATTGTTAGCCACTGCATGTGCCAAGAAGAGGAGGAGTATGTGAGCTGAGCTGATCATTGTATGACAAGAGCCAGATGTGTGTAGATCTTGGTAAAGCATTCCATTCCAGCCCCAAGATGGCTGGAGGAACAGGGTTTGAAATAGAATAGAAATTGTGTACTCAGGAAACAGTGGTGGCCAGGGTGACTGGGAGTGGGACCAGAGAAATAGCAGAGAGCTCTAGGGCCAGGGAAGCTAGCAGAACTCATATACTCTGTGTGTCCCAGACCTCTGAAGGAGGCTGAATAGTACCTTTGGATGGGTAGGGTACCACTTGGGATTTGCAGCAGGAACATGACCAGATCTGTAGCCACTGGCTTTGAATGTGCATTGTCAAAATGGTTCTTTCAAATAGACATAATTTTCCTTTGTATTTTGTAGAATAGACCAGAGGGCTGCCATTTGGCCAAAGGATGCTTTTGGAACTCAACAAGACTTACAGGAGGTAGGTGGAATCATCATGGGTTATGCAAACATGAGCTAGCCAGTCTCACAGTGCCTGTTCTTTTCGTAGCACCAGAATTTTTTTCCAATTAAAACTTTAAATTCTTTATCTCTTAAGTGAACTTTAAAAAAAAATTCCGGTAATAAAATGTTATTTCTCTAATGTTCTTCCTTGTGTTGGAGCAAAAAGCTTAAAATAGTATTTTCAAGAATGCTCACCACACCTTGGACCTTACCCAAGTCCAGCTGTCATTTCTTTGTACACTTTCCAACTTCACTTTGGGATTATATAACCAGGGCTATGATAATTAACATTTGTAGAACTTTTTCTTAATTGAATCTTATCTGGATTTCCCTTCTCCCATTTCCCACTGGCTAGTGTTTGCAGCCCCAAGCATAAACTGGCCTTACTGCTTATTCACTGAGCATATTAAAACTTGATGGCCCCACCCGAGTTTTCTTTATATGCTTTGAGATATGGGAAGCCATAATTTCCCATCCAAGTAGCATCCCATTACACTGGACAGCACATTAGTTAGCTTGTTCTAGAGTTTCTTTGAAATGTGTAATTGGATTGTAATGTCGGAAATCAGTATAATATAATTAGATCACCTGCTGTTTTGAATGCCTTGGCTTAAGACACTGGTTTGGACGCTCATCTGGTTTCTCTTGCCCTCATTAAATTGGAGCAGTAGGTGGTATGTGGTGTCTGTGAGGAGGATCATAGCAAAGAAAATAAATAGACTTGATATTCAGATGCCTAGGAGAGAAAGAAACAGCTCCAGGAAGACTGATAACTCGGCATTTTGAAGATATGTTTCTCCTCTGCTTCTCAGTTCCCATAAAAGGCATCTAAACATTTAGGTGATTGAATTCTCGTTTCTTGATGATGATGATGATGACGATGACGATGGTAGAATTTGGTAGAGGTTAACAGCTAAACATAAACCAGCTGTCTGGTTAAACCAAGTTAAATGGCCAAATTCACAGGAAATATCTTTAGTATAACACAAATGAGTATGCGGAAGGCTGCGTGTTCAGGCACAGCCTTCAAGTTGCATGTGATTCCTGGTGGAAAGAGTTGAGAGGTGTTTTTGTTTGTTTGTCTGCATTTGAGACAGGGTTTCTCTGTGTAGCCTCGGATGTCCTGGACTTGCTTTGTAGACCAGGCTGGCCTTGAGCTCAGAGAGATCTGCCTGGCTGTTTCCAAGTGCTGGGATTAAAGACATGTGACACCATGGCCAGCTAAGAGTTGAGAGTTTTAAGGAAAGAGGTATGAGTCTTGAGTTGGCACACGTATCTGTCTGTCTGTCTTCCCTTCTGTGAGGGAGCAGAACTATCCTTGTGAAGCTGCAGTGGGGACTGTGTTGATGCTCATGTCTGGAAAGGTGACGTGGGGAGAAGGCACAGCTCTCTAGCTTTCTAAGCTTTGGGTGAAGCTCTGGTTTTTGAGATTGGAAATGACAGGAATATCAAGATAGTGTGAGCAGTTGTTAAAAGCTTTGTTTGAAAACCTGCTTTTCTGGTCTCCTTCACTGTATGGGGTCTGCAGATGGCACGAACTGCGTGTGCAAGGCCTTGCCCTTCTGAGTAGGGACATGTGCCACCTCCAGGCCAAGATGTGGGAACACAGGAATGTATACTCAGAGGGGTTCTGTTCCAGTCCATGTGTGCAGGCTGTGTGTGCAGGCCCACGTGGTATCAGGTCATAAAGACTTTAAGAAGATAAGAGTTACTTCTTGATATCCTTTGAGAATTGGCTGCAGGACCCCACGGTTGGAAAACCCATGGATTACTAACCCTTTATGTAAACTGGTGCGGTATTTATGAGCGACCTGTGCACACCATCCTGTGTACTTCATATCATCTCTAGATTGCTTATTATCTGATATAGGATACTTTCTAATTAACTAATGACACTGCATTGCTAAAAAATACAAATCCTGTGTGTATCAAATACAGACAATTTAAAAATAATTGCTGGCCTGTGGTGGATTGAATTGATGGATGCAGAAACTCAGGAATCTGTAGGACTGTCTTTACTGTTTGACTGAGATGTCTTTCTTCTTCAGAATTGCTTTAATCCTGAGAAAATAGCCCATGAAAGCCGCCTCTGACACTCCCATGTTGGCTGAGACATATTCCCTTTTTTCTGTTAGAAAAAACAGCTGCGTTTTCAATTTAAGTGAAAACCCAGCCTATCAAATTGGGGCTTAGTTTAGGTTCTATTGAATATTTTGAACTATCTGAGATTTTTTTTCTTGTGGCAAAAGGTCAATTATTTCAGGCTTTAATAATGACAGTGTTTTACTGATAAACTATCTGAACATTTGGGACTGGGGAGAGGCTCCATGCTTGGCTAGATCCTGGGATTGGAAACTCATTATGGAGATCCATCTCTGGGCTCCTTTTCCTCTCCTGGCTTTATTTTTTTGTCCAGTCACTCCCTAGTAATGTCTGATTTTTATGTTCACTAATCTTAGTATATGTGATTTTTCTATTACTATATATATACATAGTAATATATATATGTATATATATGTATTATTATAGATATATATGTATATATATATATTTGGTATTTTGAGACAGGGTTTGTCTAGCTCTGGTAGTTCTGGAATTCGCTCTATAGACCAGGCTGGCCTTGAACTCAGAGATCTGCCTGTCTTTGCCTCCTGAGTGCTGGCATTAAAGGCGTGTGCCACCATGCCAAGCTGAGTTTTCTACTATTATGGTGTAATACTTTGCCAGGAGCTTAATGGCTTCACATACCCATTCACTAGCCCATGGTTGTATAAAGCAGCTGGAGTCTCTCTGCTCAGGGTCTCACGAAAGAGAAATTAAGGCATCAGCCTGGCTGAATTCTCCTCTGGAGAAGGAGCCATGCGCACACTCCTTCAGGCTGTTGCTTTAACTGGGTGTCTTGCCACCAGACTGTCATTTCTGCCCTCTTCGCTGGTTGGCAGCTGGACAGAGCATTCAGAGTCTGCCACGCTCTGCTCACATGACTGTGTTCATCTTCAAGCCAGCTATAGCACTTGAAATCTGCCTACGCTTCTAATTTTCTCCAATGATGCCTTCTGCCACCAGCTGGAAGAGACTCCGCTTTTAAAGATCTTACTTTATTTGGCCAGGCACACCCAAATAATGGCTATATCTTCTGCCAGCTGAGTTGGAGCTCAATTATCTCTGGAGGCAAAATCCCTTCAAAGCAGCACATAGATCAGTATTTGAATAACCAAGGTACAGAAACCCTGGGGGGGGGGGGGGCACATCTGTAGGGTCCTGCCTGCCTCCTAGTGGAATTATAGTCTTCTAGAATTACAGAGCCTTATGCTTGAGTCTCAATCAATGACTGGGGCATTTGTCCTTCCTGAACTTTTTGCTATGACCTTGGAGCTTGAAAGGAGCTGGTTGGCTAGACGAGACCCAGATTCCCCCCTTAGACACTGGGAATGCTCTTTGTAGAAGGCAGATAATTGGATATTGGTCTCTGGAAGCACAAGCTCCAAGGTAATTTTCCTCTTGGCCGGACCACTGCAGGATGCCACTGGACGTTTTTTCTGGTTTGGTTTTTGAGCTGAGGTAGCTTGACCTTGCCTGCCTACCAAGGGCTCTTCTTCCTCAGCTGAAGCAGTGAGTGTCCTGTGATTCTTTTAATTTTAGCCACCTTTTGTTGTCAGCGTCAGCAGGGACCCCTTGTGGCCAGCGTTGTCATGGTGTGAGGCCTAGTTCTCATTCCCAGGTGAAAGAGGCAGACAGCAAAGAAACAGGGCTGCTGCTAGGTCTGGTAGAGTCCATCCTTTCCTTCAGAGGCCACTCTCCAGCCTGGCAACTTATTTCTAGGGGAACCGGGTCTGGAGTCCTCACCTTCAAGGGAATCCCAAATGGTGCTGTAAGTGCAGGAACCAGCCATGCTAGCTGGTCACCACCTTTTTTTTTTTTTTTTTTTCTTCTAACACTGGCTTGGAAAAATAGCCAGCTTACCCCATGATTGCTTCCTGCTTGTCAGGTGTCTGCATGTCTTCCACTCAGCTGTGACCCCCTTCACTCCTGTCCCTTGCTCCAGTGTGACACCTCTATCTTTTTCCTTGTTATTCCATTTTGTACGTATTCTTCTCGGGGCTACTAATTCCCTTCCTTTTTTTTTTTTTTTTTTTTTTTTTTGGTGAGAGACCAGAAAGGGATGTTCAGTTCCGTAGCTGTGAGGGGTCACCCCATGCTGTTGTTTTTGCTGCTTAGTGACAGAAGGATAAATGTGGAAACAGTGCAGGTCATGGGCTTTCTTTACAAAGGTAAAAATCTATGAATAGTTCTTTTATTGAATGTAAATATGTATTTACATATTTATGTTATGTGGGTCCCCAAACCAAATTTTTTTTCTGGGAGCTTTGACTGTTGGGATTTTTTCCCCTCTAATGAGTAATTATTTCCGCAGTATTTGTTGAGAAGCAAATACCCTGCCCCAGGACTGTTAGAGAGAGTGGAGCAGGGGCTGAATAGGCAAATGAGCACTGACACCCCAACATCCATGACTCCCACAGGGACGCACATCCACGCCCTAGAGCTCAGCTGTCCTTGTGTCAGCACTCTTTGCATGTTAGGAAGTTACTGTCCTCCTTAGTGCCGTGAGGCTCAAACTTCAGGGCAGAAAGATGCTGTTTTCTTATTTTCTAGCAAAATGTTAGCATTTGGGGAAATAGTGAATGCTTTCTGGTGTGAATGTCACAAGCTCCTCACTTATTTCCTATGACTTCCAGCAGGAGAGTTACTGGTTTCCAATTCAGCAATTGGATATTCAGCAATTATCTAGGAAGTGGGTTAAGGTAGTGTCTTCAGAGATAAGAAAGGGCTGGGACCTGGCACAGATACATGGTTTGTCCAGTGACAGAATGAACCAGGTAATGGGTCAGTGGGCTTCTGTAGTGTCCTCTTCCTACTGAGTTTATTTATTTCTAATGATAGGGTTTATTTTCAGTTACTCGAATGGATCTGTGATGT